GAGTTCGTGCTTGTTACTCTTGGTGATCGCCATCACCTAGACGGATTGGTGGTGATTGGGAGCTTGGTGATCACCCGGCGGAGCTTGTGGGTGACCCAACTCAAGTTGTGAGCGGCTTTGGGTGATTAGCCGATGACAGTGTCAAGAATCAACCCAGAGAGAGCACTTGATCCTTGCGCGGATCAAGGGGGAGCTACACCCTTGCGCGGGTGCTCCAACGAGGACTAGTGGGGAGTGGCGACTCTTCGATACCTCGGCAAAACATCGCCGCGTTCCTTTCTCTCTCTATTTACTTTGAGCACTTACTTTGAGTATTTAATTTGAGCAATTCAATACTTGTTTCACATCCATAGAATTGCTTGCTAGAGTAAGTTTGAAACATAGGTTGCGAGGTTGTTGTGTATTAGTTTGGTATAAACACTTTTCTAGGCACAAGGGGTTAATTGGGCTATCCGTAGGATTTGATTATTGCAAGAAAATTAAGAATTAGCCCAATTGACCTCCCCTCTTGGGCATCTTGATCCTTTCAGCGTGGGTGGGTGAGGGTGCCGCTGTCGGCTAGGGAAGGAGCCAGCGGCACGCGTGACGGGAGGGGCAAGAGGCGCGCGAGCAAGGGGCGCGAGCGAGCGGATGGGGAGCAACGGCGTGGGATGGGGTGCGTGGCACGGCGGAGCCTTGCATCACGAGCTAGCGCGCGTCGCGGGAGGGAGCGAGGCGGCATGGGAATGAGCGGACACTACTACATTTAGACCTATCACAAATGGTTCGTAAAGCCCATCACTAGTGTTTTTCGGTCTCGGCAGTAAGCTGTCGGTGGTAATGACATTCTCATCACAGGCGATTTACAACCGGCGGTGATAATAGCTTATCACAGCAGGTTCGTATTACCAGCCGCGCGGTGATTTGAATTTTAAAAATTTCCAGAATAGGCAAAAAAAATAGCAAAAAAATTGTTTCACTCTGGGAAGCCCCCCCTTCCCGAGCTCTAGCTTCAGGGTACCTAAGACCTTTGTCCTTTGCTCCTTTAACTACTCCAATCCCAAGTCACTCGTGTCTATATAGCATATATATTCTCTTAGTATTCGCTTTCCAGGATTTAAAATAAATATTTAGAACTCTAAACAGTTTCAGATGAAAAAGTCATAAACTACAAATTTATTGTTCTAATCGAGATCTACAATTTTGATTTTGGTTGTTTCGCCATCTAGGTCGTTTAACAAATTTGAATTTTAAAACTTCAGCCAGACTTTTGGGGCCTCAAATGATTTCAAATAAAAAACTAATCAACTTCAAAGTTGTTGTTCTCATCGAAATCTACAACTTTGGTTTTGGTCGATTTTTTATCCAAGGTTGTTTGAAAATTTTAGTTTTTAAAATTTTAAAACTTCAGATACAAATTTGAGACTATAAATGATTTCTAATGAAATAGTTGTCAAGATCTACAACTTTGGTTTTGATCATTTTTCCATCTAAGGTCGTTTGTACAATTCGAAAAATTTGAATTTCAAAATTTGAGTGCTTCAAACAGAATTCTGGGACCGTAAATGGTTTCAAATGAAAAAGTCATCAACTACAAAGTTTTCGATCTCGTCGAGGTCTACAACTTTTATATAAAATTTATTTTCATCTGACTTTATTTGAAAAAATTATGAATTTATTTATACTGCAGCATGGTTATCACCGCCGCATCATATAACAAGCTGACGGTGAAAATGTCTTCACCGCTGGTTCATATGGCGAGGCGGCAGTGATGAGGAGCACATTATCACCGCCGGTGGGTGGTGCAAAGCAGCTGTGATGATGGACTATCACCGTCGGTTGGTAAGACGAAACGACGATGATAGTTATTAACTCGCACGTTCGTACGAATCGGCGGTGATACTCTTATCACCAACAGTTCATATTATGAACCATTGGTGATAGTTATCACCAACGGTTTTAATGATGCTGGCAATGATAAAGATGTTGGTAATAGATTAATCTGTAGTAGTGGGATGGTGTAACGAGTGGATAAGGCCATGGAGAGATGAGTGGAGGAGGACGCACGGACGCCGTAGCCGATCGTTATCTGCCACATCTGGAAAACGCCGGACGTGAGCATTATCGAACCAAATAATAACTCGTTAAAGACCTTAGGTGTCTTTTGTCAGCTGTGGGCCCATATATGTCAGTGACTGAGTTAGAGAAACTGCTTCCACCTGGACTAGGGGGTTACCCAACCATTGGTTCTAGGGTTTTTTTTCAGCAAAAAAGAGGTTTTTTTATTGCTCAGGATTCATGTCTTGAGCAGTAATTCGCTCGATACAAACTAGCACTAAATGGTGCCAAACAGCCGAACTATTTGATCTTAGAGCTAGATGTGCGAGCTCATGGGCAGCCTGTCTCGTCTCCTCTCCCACTAGGTGCAGCGGTCCTCGGTCCCTAATCGCATTCTTCAGCAGGGCACACACCAAGCTGCCATTAGTTCTAGGTTATTGTAGAAGTTTATTTATTTTTATTTTTCTTGTTTAAAAATCTGGATTGGTTCATTTTCAGGTTAGATGGACCCTAAGGAGAAGAAAACTTGCAGTTGCAGGGGTAATCTATGGGCAGGCTTATCGATCGAGGGTGGCTTTATTATGAGGGGATTCGATCAGATCTTAAAAATGTTAAGATGAAGTGGATCATATTTGCAAGACATTGAAGTTTATGCATATATAGATTTTGAAGATCAATATTTATTCACGAAGAATACAAGATTTTAAAGTACACATGACTACTAAGATTAAGTGTTGTACAATTTTTGCCTGTGTGAGTTTATACATGAAGGTTGTTCACACAAGATTTTTAATGAAGCAAACAACACATACAATTCAATTTATAAATGTGGTGTACTCTTTCCTCCGAGAAATGTTTTTTCACTAGGGTTCGGATGGAGTTTTCAATGAGAGATTTTATATTATAGTAGTCGCACAAAGGGACTGTTGTAAAACATATAGATTCTAGTCAGGAAGGAAAAATGCAAGATGAATCATAGTCTTAGTCCGTTCTCTATATAGGCTTTTATCAAACTCATAGATCTTGTTTGAACTCGATGTGGGAGCTCTACATTAAAATAATCAATGTTTAAAGAACAAAGAATAGTTTCTTTTACATTGTGCCTTTACATTCTTCTGCTTATGTGAACTATGTTTGATCATGAGAGACAAAGACGGAAATATACTAACAGTTAGCAACATGTTTAATAGTAACAATCACCATCCAAGCAAAATGAATGTCAAGACTTCCGTTGAATTTTCTAAAGATCACGAATGCCAAGCCCACCCACTTCCTTTTCTAGCGTTCTATTTTCAAACGAACCATAATTTGTATGTGCCACGCTCTATGGGGAAATAAAGGATGTTAGTCATGTTCATGGAACAGAAAATAATAACGTTTGTGCGTAGCTGCATGCGATAGTGCCCTGAAGGTGTATTATGATATGAAGTATCTCAGGTATAGCAAGTTTTCGTGGTGAAGGTCTCCGGTTCGAGTTCGGGCGAAAACAATACTATTTTTGTGTGTTCTTTTTTTTTTCATCACCTCCAGGCAACAAGGGCCTGTTTGTTTCCTCCATGAGGGCTGGGCCAGGCTGCTGGGGTGCAGATGCTCATGTTTGGTAGGCTGAACAGATTATTGGGCCAGGCCCACCATGTAGACTACAGCTACAGGTGCTCGTTCGTTGCGGGCTGTCCCGCCTCGGCCGGTGCCAACTGCAGGCGAAGCAATTGGGCCTGGTCTCTTGCCGCTTCATCCGTGGATTGGGCCAGGCCCGCACGCCCGGCCGCCCGCCATGTAGATTGTGCCTCTAATTTGCTTCGAGTTTTTTTTTTTTTGATATAAATTTGCTTCGAGTTGGAGGCCAACAAAGGCAGTTTCCACTTCCAGAGAGTAGGGAGTGACGCCGGACGTGTGCACACGCAACGCAATAGCGTTGCCGGCCTGCCCTTCTCGGCCCGCACCAATCCAGCACACCATTCCCCCCAAAAAAACACCGAAGTTCACTTTCCCTCACCATCGATTCTAGTAGGATGGTAAGGAAAAACTCACTAGATACAGCAAATTTCAATAGGACATATATATCCATTTGGATTTGGAAATCTACAAAGGCGCGCTGATATTGTTTGCAAAAGCAAATTGACATCAATCAAGAGGACCGAAGAGGGCATGTAACCAAAGAATCAAGAGTACAAATAATCGGCTGCTAAAACAAAATTCTTGCCCATGTGCTGCGGAGAAAGTATATGGCAGCTCCGATCCACCTGCACCACAACCACCAAGAACACAATGTCTTATTATTCGGAAAACATTATTATTCAGCATATACATATGGTGATTAAATCTTTAATTTTTCTTTTTAGAATATACATGCATACCTCGCTGCCAGAGCGAAGAGCACAAGTGAAGATTCGAATGTGCCACTTATTTACAGACATGCGCCAAATATGTGGCATTAAACTACCTACATAGCAAATATCCAACATGTGTATCAATAGAAGAGAATATGTGAGAAAATAATAGAAAGTCTAGTGATTAGAAAGCTTTTGCACATAGTACTAATACTCCTTTCGGTCCAAAATATGAAAAAAATGGTTTTAAAATTCTTGGCAGTCGATTCTTTATAGCTATGACCATGGATAAATAGACCATTATATAGATTGACATTGTTAGATGCATCATGAAAAGTGCTTCCTATAATGTGTAATTATTTGAATTTGATATATCATACTTCATAGAAAAATGCTAGTCAAATTGTGTACACCGTGTTAGTGTCTTGATTGACATATATTTTGCATCAGAGAGAGTACATCAATTTACACAGATTATTCTTGATTGAAATCAATTTGCACAATTTTTTCGATCAGATAGAAACCATGTCAATTTGCACAATTTTTTTCGATTAGAGAGAGACCATGTCAATTTGCACAGATATGATCAAGAGACTCCAACCTTTTAATTTATTCCCACCAATAAACTTTAACTTATTTCATCTGTGATGCCAGGTTGCGGACCATGTAGGGAAGGATGCCTCCGTGGCTGAAGTATGCCACCTCAAGCTGCATGACAACGCCAAGAACAACATAATGTGTCATTTACAAAAGAACTGGATGGTAAGGATTACTAGAGCTAGTTTTTGGAATGTTTAGCAATGTCCATACCTGTGTGTCCAAGCGAAGAATGCAAGTGAAGGATCTGCCGTCGTGGGTTGTGACCGTCACGTCCTGGCCAGGATTGATCTCGGAGATGCTGGTAGGGAGGTGGATGGTGTAGCGCTCGCGTCCAGTGAGGCCGAGTGAATCGGCGTCCTCGCCTTCTTTGAAGCAGAGAGGAATGATCCCCATTCCCACCAAGTTGCTCCGGTGGATCCGCTCGAAGCTCTTTGCAATCACCGACTTGACGCCTAGTAGCTTTGGTCCCTTGGCAGCAGAGTCACGAGAGCTGCCACTGCCGTACTCAGCACCAGCGATAATGACCATATCATGACCTTCCGACTTGTATTTCTGCATCAATCACATACATATTAAAAAAAAGGAGATTATTCACATATATATGCAGTAGTAGCACCAGCATTATGATAATCGAGCATGCATATATACCATTGCGGCATCAAAGACATAGAGCTTCTCCCCGGTAGGAACATGGATCGTCCAGGGACCAGCCTTGCCATCAAGAAGCTTGTTCACGATCCTCATGTTGGCAAACGCTCCCCTCATCACGATCTCATTGTTCCCACGGCGGCCACCATAGGAGCTGAAGTTCTTGGGCTCCACGCCATACTCGAGCAGATACTTGGCGCAGGGGTGCCCTCGGGATCTTCCCGAGTAGGAGATGTGGTCCGTGGTGATACTGTCCCCAAGGTTGAGCAGGCAGTAGGCCTCCGTCACCTTGGGCAGGCTGGGTGGTGACATGGACATGCCGTCGAGGTATGTGGGCTTGCGGATGTAGGTGGACTTGTCGTCCCATGGGTACAGCGCCTCCTTTGGAACCGGCAGCTCGTTCCACCTATGGTTGCGTTCCATGATGGACTCGTACACTTTCTTGAACAAGTGAGTCTGCACGCTGGACTCAACAACCTGATCGATTTCTTGGTTTGAAGGCCATATGTCTCTCAAGAAAACTTCCTTGCCACCCTTTCCAACTCCAATGGGCTCTTTCTCAAAGTCAATGTCAACCTGATTGAAAAGGCACAAGACGCATGTGATGCTATATTACCAGCCATATATAGTGTGTGTCAGCCACAAAATAATAGTACATGGCCAAGTTGAAGAAACAACAGCATGCCGTGGAGTACTTACAGTGCCGGCAAGAGCATAGGCAACAACCAGAGGCGGTGGAGGCGAGGTAGTTAGCCAGTGAGAGGGTTCACACGGCCCTCAAAGTTTCGGTTGGCCGACAGCACCGCAGCAGCAACGATATCTGTATGTGCAAGAGTAAACCATAAGCTACCAATTAATTAATAAAACTTGTTATGTGCACAGCTACAAAAATAGATAACACCCTACCATTTTCTGTGATAGCAGCTGATACAGATTCATCCAGGTCGCCAGAGTTGCCGACGCATAAGGCACAGCCATGCAAGAGCGACATGGAACCCTTGCTGGTTCAGATAATCTTGAAGCCCGCTGCATGGATAAACCACAAACAGTTGCTTCATTCAGACATGCCATCGGATGACATGATGCATCTCAATTTTCGACTAACAGAACTAGATTTGGATGGCAAAACTATAGATATACCTATGTTTCAAGTACTCGGTAGCAACCACAGATCCAGGGGTAAGGCTTGTTTTTACCCATGGGTTCACCTGAGGATATATAAGAGTTGTTCCACGGTAAGAAAACAGAGCAGAGAAGAGGGCAGGGGAGAATAATCAATACAACAACAAGAGATCATATACTAAAGAACAATAAACCAACCTCAAGGCCCAATTCGCAGGCTTTCTTTGCCACAAGGCCAGCACCAATCATGACGCTGGGATTCGATGTGTTTGTGGAGCTACATATTGCTGCAAGAACAACACTGCCATGCTTGATTTCAGCTGGCCGTCCATGGAAATCGAATTTCACAACTTTACCCTGCTGTTCCTTTGGCACTGCATAGCCCTGGAGTAGTGTTTTCCATGCAATAAATTTAAGATACTCCGACATTATTTTTTTTTTAAAGAAAATTGTAAAGGAAATATCATGTACTACAGAACCAAGGGCCTATTACCTTGAAACCAACTTCGTTGTCCAGGCAAGCATGCCAGTCTGACTTCATTTCCCTCAAAGGGACACGATCATGAGGCCTGCAGGATGGCAAATCAAACAGGACAGCACAATCCAAGTCCCCATTAGCACTAGTAGAAAAATATAGTTATTGTCCAACAGTGAGAAAATCATAACCAAGGAGCACTATATTTACCTTTTGGGGCCTGAAACGCAAGGCTCCACCTCACTAAGGTCCAACTCCAGATATGAAGAGTAAACTCGTTCTGTCTCAGGCTGCATGGCACCATGAGTAGTGCGAATATGTCAATTTCTTATAAATCAGGAATAGTGGAACTCAAGCACTGTAAAACCAAAAAGGCAAAAACCATACCTCATGGTGCTCCACAAACATCTTGTTAGCTCTCGGCAGGTATGCTTCAATCATCGACACCTGAATCACATATAATGCAAGATATAAAACTGTTTTATTAATAAAAAATATATATCAGAATGATGGAATGGGTATGGTAAAAGAGTAGTCTGCACATAGTGAAACATACAGTTTCATCGCTTCGGCCTGTCAATTTGAGGTAGTCCAATGCTACTTGGTCTACAGGGAAGAAGCCCATGGTAGCTCCATATTCTGGAGACATGTTGGCGATTGTGGCCCTGGCAGGCAAAGATAGCTCGCCCACACCAACACCTGAATGCAACAGAGAAAATAAAGAAAGTCGTTGAGAGAGATATATGAATAAATTAAATTATGGCAAAGATGTATACCACGCTTCTCTAATATGCTTACCATAGAATTCAACGAATTTGCCAATAGCACCGTGCTTCCTTAGCATTTGGGTCATAGTAAGAACAAGGTCAGTAGTAGTGACACCATCCCGTAACTTCCCACTCAACTTGAATCCAACCACACCAGGCAAAACCATGCCCATTGGCTGCATAAGAGACCAACTTATGGGTCAATTTGTAATGCATAGACAGGAAGTCAGCATTTATGATCCTATATATGTTGCTGAACTTATCATATCAGAAAGATGTGTTAAGGCTAGCTTTGCATGTAAAGTCTGACTAGAATTTCCTTGTTGGCTGCCATATACAACTTGTGATTTTCAGGGTGGGCAAAACCCATTTTGTTTAAAAGTCATGGGATGATCCCATCATTTTTTATGGATGACTCAACCCCATCATTTTCTGCTAATCTTTTCCTTGTGAGTCTCCACTTAACAGTGTTTACCTGGCCAAGCATTGCAACAACCGCTTCAATACCACCTACTCCCCAACCAGCAACTCCAAGACTATTAGCCATAGTGGTGTGCGAGTCTGTGCCAACCACACTGTCGAAGTACAGAATGCCATCTTCGTTGAAGACAACTCGGGCAAGATACTCCATATTTACCTGAAATTTGTATTACAATTCAAATCAAAGATGAAAATAAAGAGTTTCTGCGATACAGACACATTAAATTCTTTTGGATCCAGAACATTAGTTTACCTGGTGTACAGTGCCAGAACCAGGGGGGAAAACCTGCATGTTACGGAAAGCACTGGATGCCCATTTAAGAAAAGCAAACCTTTCTTTGTTGCGCTGGAACTCCAGCTCTTCGTTTCTATCCAATGCATCACATGTCCCTGCTACATCCACTCGCACCGCATGGTCAATAACAGCATCCACAGGAATCTGCATGCACAATCCAAATGGAAATATGTATTGTGAAACAGAAACAGAAATAGATGAGGGAGCACAGAACTTTTGAGATGATGAATCAATAACAGAGAAAATAAAGATGTACCAATGGATTGATCTTGTAGGGATCACAACCCAACTTTGGCATCATATCACGCATAGCTGCAAGGTCTACAACTGCTGGGACTCCAGTGTTGTCCTAGATCATAAATTGGATGATATATAATAAGCAGCAGGCAATTATATATGAAGCATAAGAATTTGTGAGATGTCAGATCAAAACCAACCATGAGAATGCATCTCGCTGGCTTGAAAGGTATCTCAGCCAGCTTTGGAGATGTGTTCTCCCAATCAATGATTTTCTCAACATCACTCTCTGTGACTTGGAAGTTATCACAATGGCGGATAGCTGATTCCAGGAGAACACGTATAGAGTAGGGAAGCCTATCTGATAGAACACAAGAAAAGGATTTTTTTTTTTGTTATTTAAAATAGTATTAACATATTAATGTACAGGCATGATGTTGCAAAAAGTATAACATTGCAATTTGTATAGGTAAGCAAAATAAAGGTGTAAAAGTTTGCACCTATGCATAGCCATAGCATTGTCTCGCAAAATATTTTATTAAGTTAAACTAACAGTTTGAGATGTAGCTTTTCCAAGAAGAGACAATGGAACATTTCTTCTTTGTCTTTTTCAATGTGCTACAAAGTACTATAAAGAGCTGGCAGATGAAACAAACGCCCTTGTTGAAATTAAAGGAAGTGAGTGAACACAGCAGAGTTGAGAATGTGAATGCTAGACAGAATTAGCATAGCATGTGTACTAGTTTATATTTGCATAGTCCAGATAAATAGGAATGTAAATTGCAAAGTGAAGGAAGGAGAAACTGAAAATATTACAGAACCGAGCATAGAAATTTACCAATCCTTGGATCATTTAGTGCAGGAAGGCTGAAGAATTTCCCGTATTCACCGCCGCCAGGCTTAGGGAGGCTGGCCAATATACTCTTGAAAGCATGCTTGGTAGCTGAGGGAAACACAAGAATGCAGCTAACCGATGTGAATCTCCATTTGCAGTAAGGACAGTGGGATATTTATTGGAGACAAATACTTGCTGAAGAGAAACATTTAATAATTGAAAAGGGCATTCCTTTGACGGCATTCTTTCAACCTTTCCGAACAGTTAGTACTAACAGAGGGAGGAGCTAACTGTGAAAGAGTGACAACGTTATCTGAACGGGTTGAAAGTGAACATTTTTGTCCCCCCACGGATGCTAATGAACTTTGAGGTGATTAAACTATAGAGTTTTGAAATGAGAAATGAAGACGACATTGGTCAGCTGAAAATAATATTTGCGACTTTTAATTAAAGGAAGAAGTCACGAATACTCTGCATAAAGGAAAGTGCTGAAAGGCCACATATAGCTTTTGATTGAAGCGAGATAAAGCAATCGGAGTGGTTCTTCGCACCAAAAAGGCAGCAGGGAACAACGGGGCTTGATTCATTTTTGAAGTCAAAATCAAAATTGAAGTGAAACTTCAAACTTATGAGCAGCAGAGTTATCTATCTACTGGCTTAATAATAAGTAGTAGTTATAGCTAGTGAAGTGGCGGTGATAGATTTGGAGCACCTCCGATCCGATCGAGAGCGTCGTCTTGTGGCTTGGTGGCGGCGGCAGCGGCGGCGGAGGCGGCGCTGGTGGTGACGTCGACGAGGCGGGCGCGGTGGAGGTCCGGATGAACCGCGCGGCACCTCCATGAAACAGAGAGGGTCCGGCAGGCTCGTGGTGGGCGGCGGCGGAGGGAGGGGGGATTGCAGGGGAAGCGGCGTGGCGGCGGAGGCGTGTGCGTGTGGCAGCAGTGGCAACCACGGACGGGGGGCGGCTGCTCCATGGATCGGAGCGGCGGCGGGACCAGAAGAGGCGGGGCAGGCGGCGGCGGCAGGATGTGGTCCCGCTCCCGCCCCCATCACGCGCTCCAGCGTGGATGCACGGTGACCAATAGAGGCGGAGGATCGGAATCGGAACGGCCGCCGTGGAAAGCGATGGAAAAACGGCAGGTCAGGTCATCGGGTGGCGTACGGTGACTGGCTGTCATAGTGTCATAGAATACAATTAGTGCCCCTGCCATAGTGCCATGCCCATGCCACTCTCTTCAGTCTTCTCCCTCCATGGCCATGGCCAATGTACAAAAAAATATATACATATTCGCTCCAGCTGAGGCCGGCCACTTGTACAGTACAGCTACGAGAAAAAATCTACTGTAGTCAGGCGCGGGCAGCCACTTGTCCCGGCCGGAAAGGCGGAGACGGAGACCTACCACCACCACCACCGCTCTAATAATTTCGATTCTCCCTCTCGCTGACAAAAAGGAAGAGGAAAAAGAGAGAGAGAGAGAGAGATCTTGAATCTCCTATCCGATTCACGCCAGGATCGGAGGAGATCGAAGGCGAGCATAGCTAGGTTGCTGCTGCCGGACAAGCTTGCCGGCCGGCCGGGAAAATGCATGCCTGGTGGTGCCTTCAAGATGTTGGATCCACATGCCTGGACGCTTGTTTTTTTAGAGATTTTGCTTGCTTGGCTACTACTAACGGAAGGTGTACCCTCCTCTTATCCATCTCTTACTGATGATGCTCAAGCGAGAAGCATGTGTAATCTCAACTCTGACAATAATCCAGCAAGGGATATATATGGATGGTGGCGAATGAAAAGAGGAATCCCCAAAATACCTCTTAATTAATTGGCATCTCATGACATGTTTGCGTTGTGATTAAGATTCTTCTGATCGAGTGTGTACATATCATGTTGAGGACGCATCGGATCGGAGGACCTTGCTTGATGAACGTAAGTACTACTAGCTACATAGCCTCATCAGCCCTGCTTCGCTATATCCTATATGGCTTGGCTCGGAGAGGCATCATGCATGCTTTTTCATGTGCATATACCATATATGCTTTTTCATGTGCAACTAGCAAGTGCCTAGCCATGTTGGAAACTGGAATCAGAATCATCATCCTACTAGTCCAATCAGAAATTGGAAATTGCTTTGACGCGACGGCTGTGTGTAGTGCATACAGAGAGGATCAGAGCAAGCAAGAAATTAAACAAGATTGTATATATGATGATTCGTCAACAAAGTAGAAAGCAGCCACCGTACCCACACCACACACAACACACAGAGCTAATAGCGAGAGGGAGAGGAGGGCAGGAGACGCGCGCGGCAAGCAAGACACGCATGGATTCAATTCCAAAAGCAGACCCCCCGGCTGGTGGCCTTTCATAGCTAGCTCGGCAGCCTGCTTATAAATTATATTATTACCTGATGAATTGGCCATCGTGGCGGACTACGTGTACAGCTCGCGCGCTCGACGACGTGCGGCAGGAGGTCGCCGGTCCACCCCGGCCTGGTCCGGCCCGCGCGACGCCGGCGGCGGCAATGAACGCGCGCGAGCACTACGCGAGGACGATGGGGGCCAAGAGACAAGAACACAACTGGTGGATGATGATGATGACCAACAGACCAAGCGAGAGAGGGAAGCAGTCACTTCTCTCTTCTTATACGTACAGCGCGCGCTAGCAGCGACGACAGCAGACACAGTGAGAGGGGCCGGCCAGCTGGGAGAGGGGCCGTTTGGCTTCGTTCTAGTATTTACAATTTAGATTAATTAAGTTAATAGAGTTGCAAATGAATATATTTATATATTTATCGTTAGGCATACAAGAGACATACTCATATGCTGTATTTCTATTGTAGAGAAGTGAGTTGAACAGTGTGCTATAAATTAGAGAGTAGAATTATAGCATAGTAATCTATAGAATTCATTTTCATCTCCCACTCTATGAATTTAAGATAGGCTCATTTCTGAGCTTGGAAAAGTTATGGAATATCAAATTTCAAATTAAATAACCTAATCCATTAAGTAGATTTCAATTCCTCCGAAATGAAGGGATCCAAATGGCCCCTAAGAGCCTGTTTGGATTCAAGGACCTAGTTAAGTGCTAATAATATAATTAGCTGCGTGGATAGATCCAAGCAGGTATATTTGATAGTTTCAGAAATACTAGCGTCGGGACGTTCGGACAGAAGCGCATGCCCGGACGTCCGGACAGAAGCGCACGTCCGAACACCTACGCCTCCTCCATCACGTACGCCCGCGGGGAAAAAATACCGCGACCGCCACTCCTTCCCCCTGACCCCCTCCTCTCTCTCTCTCCACACGGGCGGGACCCAGGAGCCGGTATGAGGACGAGCACGCCTGCCGTAGGATCCCAGCTCGCCCCATCCGCCGGTCCTCGACTGGCGTGCCCATCCCTGCCGCCCGGGCTGTGCCCTCATGACTCTCTCTGAAACATAAAAAACTTGAATGCAACATACATCTGAAGCAGATAAAATATTTGTAACATACACTTGAAACATATGTGTGAAACATATGCAACATCCAGTTAAAACACTTTCAACTTGCAACATGAAAACACTAACTGCAACATAAGATTGAAAACAGTTGAAACATTTCGAATATATGTGTGAAACATATGCAACATCCAGATCAAAATGCTTGCAACATATGTCTGAAAAAAGAATAAACATTTTGAACAAACTCTTGCAACATGCTACTGAAACACTTGCAACGTATGGAACATCCAAATCTACTTTTACAACATCCATATGAACTACTTGCAACATACCTAAAACACTTAAAACAAGCATTTGCAACATAGGGGGGAGAGGCCTGGGCTGGTCGATTCTGGCCGTCAGGGTGGGAGCCGGTGGCGCGGGAGCACCACCAGCACCAGCCACGCTCGTGGACGCCCTTGGCTCGGTCGGGGACGACCTGAGACGCCGTAGTGCGCCCGGCCGCCATTGGTAGGGGGCAGCGACGACAGCCCGCAGCGACGAGGCATCCCGACGGCGCTAGGTTGGGGAAGAGGCCAGGGAGGCATTGTGCGAACCGAGAAAGGAGGCAGCGTGGTTGGCTTGGGTGGAGTAAGGAGGCAATGATGGCAGCGTGGGGCTCTGCTGCTGCCAGCGGGCGCAAGAAGAGACCGAGAGATGGAGAGGGCAAGACGGAGTGGGGAGAATTTTTTTCAGGTGGGCGAGACGGAGTGGGAAGCCATGTCCTAACGGACGCGGACGGACAAACGCCCGTGTTGAAGTATTTTTGTAATAGTCTAGCTAATTGTTAGTTGAATACCCAACTAACAACTATTTCATTAGTTGGACTAAACTCTAATAATAGCGGCTAATGTTAGATGTCATCTATTAGCTAGCTAGCTATTAGTAGCTAATGGATCAAACAGAACCTAATATTTTGATGTGCCAATGAGGTTCAATTAAAGCAAAGCAAAAGAAAAGAAAAGGAAGAAGAACTTGAACTGAGTACGTGCCACGTCTGCCCCTGTTTGGAAATGTTTTTGGTTCTTTTTCATTCCTGTAATATATAATAGAGTCCCCTGAGAAATTAGCCAATCCATAATAAATATATATGCAAATTATATCATTATGCGCAGCAACTAGGATATGATAGCATCATGTGTTCAAGTTCAGGATAGAGCAGAGCTCCTCTTGCTTCAGTTTCTTTGGGATGGGAATAATTATGTGGATTAAGTGATTATTTAGGATAAACTAAAAAAAACTCGACCCGCGGGGTAAGACAGTCTCTGGGCATTGTGCTTAAGAAGAAGACCTTCTCACGCAGATCGAGAAAACCCACGAACCTCTACCCTACCCATACACAGGGCACCGCAGCTCCCGTGAGACTGGGCTGGCCTTAGACATGTGCTTTGACATGGGACATGCGAGGGGATTTTTTTCAACGCGTAGATAAACTGCACCTCCTCCGGCCAACAAATCCGCCCCCGAGGGGATTCGAACTTGGGGCGGCAGGGTGTCTAGCGTTCGCTTGCATTATGTAGGATAAACTGTATAAAGGAAATTATCCTACATGAGGAATGGATCAAAAAGAACTAGGGCTTTTTACATTATTCTTGCAGCTTCTAGCTCCCCAATTTATTTATTTTTTAAAAAAAGCATTTCATAGTTTTTAACTTACAATAGCTGGTTTGGTTCCAAGTGGTACAAAAACCGCTCAACCGAATTAAGTCTTCGACTTAGTATGACTGCATGGATTATTGTGTTTTCATGGAACTATTCTAGAATTTAACGATGGCTATTCTTTCAATAATAGATGGTGTTTCTATCGATAACGAGACACCTATGGTGACTTTGTCAACTTCTAGACTGTCGAATCAGTCTTTTAGAAGTGTCCACGGAGGTAGGGTTTATGTACGTGCGTTCTTAGAGCTCGATAACGAGACACCTATGGTGACTTTGTCAACTTCTAGACTGTCGAATCAATCTTTTAGAAGTGCTCACGGAGGTAGGGTTTATGTACGTGCGTTCTTAGAGGTAAGTGCATGTGTGTAGACATCTCTACATCTATACTACGTAACACAAAAATAACAAGAACACACTACTATAGAACATGGAATGTTTACGATTCACCGGAATACATCTGTAATCCTTGGAGTACTTCAATTCCTATAATTCTACATTCTATACTCCCTTTAGAATGCAGTTTTTTTTGAATCTTGTGTTTTTCTTGTCAAATTCCCGCATAATTCCTACAAAATCTGGGGGTTCTGACGAACCCTTAGTATTTTCGTGGTGTGAGGCCATCATCCTCTGATATATGTCTAAAACATAAATCTCATGTTGATGTTGGAGTAGTTGATAGGCCAGGTCACGTATCACTAATATTCTCACACAAAATATACCAACCTACTCGATTGATGCATGAAACCTCGTCGAATTCTTTCCGGCTGGAATGATAATCTCATTTCTCTTTCGAAACTAATTGCGTAAATGTACACGCTTGGATCAAGGTGGCCATAGGTCCAAATATTCTTCTTTAAATAAAGGCGTACTAACTCGGAAAACCACTCCGACGGGGACGGCGTGTGCATTTGTAGCCGGACAGCTAGCATTTTCCCATGTGGATCGATCATGCATGGTGACAAGCGGAGAGAGTGAACGGGTGGGGACAAGGGATGGCCAGCGATCTGGATTCTTCTCTCTCCGGACCCACCGCACAGTGACGATCCCATCTCGCCTTTCCGACGCCCACACAGCTCGGTGAATCTGTGAATCTCGAGACCACTTGTTTGGACGTGCTGATAGGGATATAATTTGCGTACCTGTATTTATAGAGATGAGTGTGCGTGTATATTGTGGGCGTCTACGTTATACTGTGTAATTTTTTAAAAAAATTTGACATATTATGTTATTATTAACCCACAAGTGCAACAAGTGTAGCAAGCAAAATGACATACGTTACCCAATATATATAATTGAGGGGTACCTAACTAATTTGATTTCGAATAGTGTTCAAATTATTTCAAATATAATATCAACGGGATACTAATTGTGTCGCCAATTATTTCGTGTATGCCTGCTCGTCCTCTCTCGATATAGGAGTACTGTACAATGCACTGACAAGTGATGACGCATCGTTTTCGTCCCCACGTGCTTCTTCTATGCCTTTATTTGCTGCATGAGTATCCACATCAATTCACATGTATTAAAGTAGAATGGAATAAAATTTAGTTTAATTCCACTTCTACACACATGGAAAACCTAAATGGGTGACCATAGGGCAACATCACTTTCAATTTGGAGTACAGTAGTCCCTTTGTTGCAATTTATAAATCATTTTAACCTTTCTAAGTAAATAATTTCTATTATATATTTAGATATATCATATATCTAGATATATATAACAAAATCTATGTACCTAGAAAAATCAAAACAGTCTATAATTCAAGATAGGAGGTGGTAGTTAGTAACAAGTCAACATCTCATACGAACATATACATTATACTAGTTATGCGCGCTGGTGATGAGCACATGATCCAATCTAAATGTGTGACCACGCATAGGGCAACATGCCAACATCACTTTCATACTGGAGTACAGTAGTTAGGCCCCCTTTGGCACGTATTTAGACAGTTTCCGCTCTCTCAGTGAGGGAGAGGGAGAAGAGAGAGAAATTTAGCTTCAATAATAGTACGCTCCACGGAGCTGAATCCGTGCTAAAGGGGGGCCTTAGTAGCTAGTCAACATCTCATATATGAACATATACACCATGGTTCTAAATTATAAGATATTTTGAATTTTTTAGATACATTATTTTTATTAAGTATTTAGACATAGTGTATATCTAAGTGCATCTTATAATTTGGAATGAAGTAAGTACTCGTTATGCTAGCAATTACCCGTCAAAAAAGAATATAACTCTAGATTTTATCCTAAAGCCAAAATTTATCTTAAATTTAATCA